GGGGTACGCATAGCCCCCCCCCCCCCCCCCCCACACTTTCCTTTGCTTTTATGTAGAACTGTGCATAACTAAGAGCTTAGCTCAAATTAATGGAAAGCATTATGTATTTTCAGATTTACGCATGCTTATAGCAAAATATTTCCATTACTGAATTACAGGCTTGTAGATATCCCATCTACTGCCCATCTTCATCATGCTCTTTTCAGAAATCCTGACACAAAATCTTTGCCACATATGTAATGAGCAAATTAAGCTGCATCCCACCCTCAATGTACAGTCACAATTCTAATCTATACACAGATGCAAGGCTTACTATATAGCAATAGAGAAATGACCGTTACTCTTTAAGAACTGGTGTAACAATAACACAATAACCTCAGTAAGATTTTACAGAAAACGTCCTCAGCTGTAGACCTGCACTGGTGCAGGAAGCTTTTGGACATTTACAAAACAGCCAAACTGTGGGTAACCGTCTGCTTCCAATGCCTGTACAAGGCTAAAGGATCCAGATGGTGCTTTACTTGGTGTGTTACCGAAAACTGAATTACAGGCCCCTCGATAATCCCCCAAAAAGTGTAGCTAAAATAAATGTAAAACCTTTTTTTCATCAATTTTACTTTTGCATGAGGAAAACTGTAAACGTTAACAACCTGTGATGCTTTTCACTACTTTTTTTTAATGTAAATGGTCTGCAGGGAGGTTACAATAGTGGGCATATATCATGCACCCCCTTGGGCCATGCAGCTAAGTATCTGGGTACATGGAAGACAGGAAGAGACCGCCCGAGCACTTCCTTCAACCTTCATCGTGAGAGGAGAGGAGTCAGTCTAATGATTCCTCACCCAGTCAGGTTAAAATGTGACCATGCTGTACTCTTATGCAGGGGGCAGTCCACCGGCAGTCAGTAAGCTTAAGCTGGCCAAAAAGTCCATTGAATTCTAACAGTGACAGGTATGCCACTGTTAGAAGACCCGAACAGGGACTGCATCTGACAGTCACTGTTTGGTCAAGAAAATTGGACTGGCTCTTCTGACAAGAATCCTGCTGACTGGACCAAAATTCGACCAGTGTATGTCCAGCTTTAAATTAGGGCTAATACAATGCTAAGGCTAATGTTCAACTTGAGATTTATTTGCAGTAACCCCCCTCTCTTCTTTTTAAAAATACATTCCTATCTATGAAATCCACAGTTATTTTCCATGCAATCGCTAAAAGGCAATTTTCTTTAGCAATTTGTAACTCAGTGAGTGAGTTTTACCAGCTTTTCTTTTTTTTTTCATAATAACAGCACACCAATATGCACATTAGATTACCTATTAATCCCGTTCCCATCAGTGCATTATATAAAACTCAAATAACATAGGTAGATTTTATTTAAAAAATGTTGGCACAGCTGCAGTGCCTACTGTATTTGCATCATTGACTCAGCAACTGATCTTGGTTGTTTGGATCTGTAAAGTGAAGAGGAAAAATAAAAACTACTTTTCTAGCAACCGCTATAAATACTGTAAATCTCTTGGAACTGTATTTCATGGTAAATGATTATTATTATTACACAGTATTTATATAGCGCCAGCAGTTTGCACAGCGGTTTACAATATGAGGAAGACATTACAATCACAAAACAATTCAAGACAAGATGGTGAGGAGGGCCCTGCCCCTGAGATCTTACAATCGAAAGGGAGGGGCAAGTGATACATGAGGAGGTAGCTGTGTGGGGATGAATTGTTTGACAAAGTGATAGTTCAGTGGTTAGTTAGAGGTGGGATAGGCTTCCCTGAAGAGATGAGTCTTAAGGGATCGCCTAAAGGCAGTCAGAGTGGGAGATAGTGGAACAGTTTGGGGTAAAAAGTTCCATAGGATGGGAGAGACTCTAGTGAAGTCCTGGAGGCGAGCATTGGAGGAGTTGAAGGAGCTGGAAAGCAGAAGGTCTTTTGACGAGTGGAGGGGACAGTTAGGGTGATACTTTGAGACCAGGTTTGAGATATAGCCGGGGGCAGAGTTGTGGATGGCTTTGTAAGTGGTTGTTAATATTTAGAATTTTATCCTTTGGGCTATTGGAAGCCAGTGCAGGGATTGGCAGAGGGGGGTTGCAGACACTGAGCGGTTGGTTAGGTGAATGACTCTAGCTGCAGCAGGATTAGAAAATCTGCATTATTTACTATGGTACAAGAACAAATTCCTTATTCTTGGTGATGAATCCTGGATCAAGCTAAACAGCCGGAATTTCTTGCCATTATAAATATAAAAGCATATTCAAGTCCAAATTGACATTTCAGTGAACCCGTATTCCATACATTCCCCCTAGTCGCGCCCCTTCAGCCTGTTCTAGTCCTGGTGGAGCTAGAGGAAATTCTTCCACATTAGGCGCAGTATCTACTTTTATACACATCTTCCCACCTGCTGCTGTATAATATTCTTTAATCCCTGGCCGCATAAATGTGAATTGGAGTGCCAGTGATGACTGCAGAGGGCAATCATATATTATGCCTGAGAACATGTTTATAGCGAGTTGAAACAGTTTGCTGATCATGAGAGATGTCTGGAACTGTCAGGTCTTGTTTACTAGAACTGAACACCCAAATACTTTTACACCCACCACATATGCAAGAGAGAAAAAGCCTGTTTATAAGAACTGCTGCCTCTCTTTTAACAGCTGATCATGTTACAGAGGTCATGTTCTACCAAGTGCACTATTTCCCTCTCCCCTTTCCAAAACCCCCAACCCCTAGAGGTCCCAAAAAACAAAATCACTGCAGAAAAGGAGACTAAATATGACACTGTGGGGAAATTCTAGAGATCTAGTTGCTATGGTCAACAGCCCCACATTTAAACTGAAGTCCAAAGTGCAGAATTACTATAATCAGGAAAATCCTGAGATGTTAACTGTTCCCAAGAATTTAGCTGAATACCTTTTAGCTCGAATTCCTTCCAAAAAATAGCTGTGAGCTCTCCTGTTATCTGGAGGTGCCTACATACTCTTGATCAATAGCCTCATGTATATCTGCTTTCATAACATCTCCCAGGTCACTGGACAAACAATATGCTTCGCACCGACAACGTTCCTCCCGACAGACACACATGACATCTTGAGCTTGAGTAAATCACTGCAAAAGCATATGATGAATGCTGCTCATACAATTATCCGGAGGCATTGGAAAGAGATGGGACCACCCTCTTTGTCCGAATGGATCCGACAGATCGATCCCATCTATGAGATGGCGTAATTACTATTCACAAAACGTGATGCGTTGGATAACTTTTCCCGCATCTGGGCGTGTTGGAACCATTTCACCAACACACCTGATTATCAGTCTCTTAAATCTAAAGAAGCATGATCAACCATTGGATGATATTTCCTCCCGGAGATCACCTGGCTACACTGCTGACTATGGGAGGACCCTTGGTCGTGACGAGATCTCATCATGTTTTTTTTTCTTCTCACGCTTTCCCTGTCACACTATTTTCACACTAACTTTTCTCCTTACCCTTTAAGACCGTTAATTCCACCCTTGCATCCGGGAAATATGAGATTAAGTGCTTTACAACTAGCTACAAGGAAGACAAGGCACTAGGACAACGTGTTACGTATTAATAGCTTGTTCAGTATTGTCCAGCTTGCCAATTTAGGATGCAGATACGATAACTGAGTATTTTTTACTACTCAGATGCCTACCCTCCCCCTTCCCTTTTTTCTTAATACTATAATTTCTGAAATGTACAAGGAGGTTGTATTAAGCTCTATTGCCTATGCCTGTATGTACAAAAATCAATACATTTGTTGGGATAAAAAAAAAAAAACAACTGTATATCTGCTGTGTGAGATCTAAGGCACTGTTGTCTCTGACAGCTACTCCAAAAAAGATCTGGAGTGAAATTTGGTGAAGTCACTATAGTACTGCTAGCTGTTCCCCAGGAGGCTCTGGCTCTGACATAAGGAAGCAAAGCCCTGTGCCAACACCAGGATATTTATTTTTGTGGTTTTTTTTTCTTCTAGTGCATTAATTGATCATCCATTAAGTGCGTTAACATCCTTTGCTAAAACAGAATCTTCAGCTTGGATTAGATGTGTGCTCCATAGGGTGGGGGGGGGGGTGGATAAATAAAACACACATCCCAATTGATCTACTGCTTACAGGGCAACTGTACTTTGCCTCCTCGCCACTTCCTCTTATTCCCTGTTCACACCTAGGCGTTTTGACACTCAAAGCTAAAGCTCAACAAAAAACTCTCAACCCCAGAAATCCCAATCATTTCAATGGCCCCTGTTCACACCTGAGCATTTTGTCGCAAGCTGTTTTAGCAGATTTCAGCACGTTTGGCCCCCATAGACTTCAATGGAAACGCCTGGAAATGCGCAACACACGCATTTTGCACATTTCTGTGTGGGGGTTTTTGTCCATTGCCCGTAATGTCTTTCAATCTGTCCGCTAAAACGCACTTCATGTGCAAAAACGCAGTAAACATACTAGACAAAAATGCGCTCTTATATGCGCAAAGTATTGCAAAATAAAAAGTCACCCGCACTCCAAGGTCCAACGTGTAATCACCTTTATTCAGATGCTAAACAACATGGATACACTAATGGACAGCAATGTTTCAGAACAGTCAATGGTCCCTTCATCAGGTAAACAGATGACGGGACCATTGACGGTTCCGAAACGCTGCCCTGCACTAGTGTCGCCATGTTGTTCGGCGTCTGAATAAAGGCGCTTACATGTTGGGCCTTGGAGTGCGGGTGACTTTTTTGCAATACTTGGATTCATGCGTCGCCGTCCTTAGTCACACCAGCATGCATCTTATGAACTTTGGGATTCCGGTCTGGTGTGCAGTGGGACTTAGTCTATTACTAATATGCAAACATGATGATGCCTATGTGTGACATTAGACTTAGACTGCAAGTCCTATGCTCCTCCTGTATTATATCTTGGTACTTTTTTTTCTAGAGTTGCCCTATATTTCTCACTATTTGTACAGCTGATCTTCAATAAAACGATGCATTGTAAAGCTTTAATAAAGTATCATAACACTAATGTTCATTTTATTTGTGTAACTGAGTTTTGCATATTAGATGCACTCTGAAAAAAACCCATAACAGAACATTTTTTTTAAACTCATATCCAGAAATTAGACTGTGCCACAAATTAGCAAATTTGCCACAACAGTTAGAGGGCTATTCCCCAAGCTGCCAAAAAGGCAGCCGAGTGAATAACCGAGCCGAAACGCAGTTCGGCTATTTACTTCAGCTCCGTACGGCTAATTTTAGCCGTACATCCGATAGAAGCCAGCCAATGTACAACTGATTTTATCAGCCAAAGTGAAGAAGCTGTTTGACTCAGCCAATCCAACATCTGGATTGACTGAGCCGAACCTCAGACAGTTCACTCACTGCCGTTCGCCCTTATTCTCATAGAATGAGACTGAACAGAAGGTCTCCGTCGGCCGAAGGAACAGCAGAAGCTACGGCTAGATCCTTTGGCTTATTAGTGAATAATCCTTAGTTTTTTAACTAAGAGGTAAGGTCTGAACAATGTAATTATGCATGGAAAGTGCAGCTTGGCTGAGAAGCTTGACACCCAAACTGTATAGGTGGTCATTTCTTACACCATAGGTCTCCAGAAAGCCTGCTTGGGCAACACGGTTTAATATTAGGCAGAAAAAAACATGCAGAATATGAGACAACCATGGACTTACACCATAGCTCATAGTAGTAGTTGCAGCACTGGGATTGTCCACAGCAGTGACCCGTTTCACAAATGTAACTCTGATTGTTTAGTCCAATGCATGTTTCCTTATCCTAAGAGAAAAATAAGAGACACAAGGTCAGGAAATAAACATTTTATTAAACACTCTTTAAAAGAAAGAGAAAACTGGTTACAAACGCCATATCTTCCAGAAAAAAAAATATTTCATTAAAATAAACAGTGCATTTTTTTACACCAACCTTTCCTAGCCTTCAGGAATCACTAATGGGAACTCAAGTGGCCAGCACAGAGCACTGACCTCAACCCTATCGAACATCTTTACAATAAACCGGAAAGTTTCTCATCCAACATCCATACCCAGCCTCACAAATGCTCTGTTGACTGAATGGGCACAGGTGCTCGCAGACACTCCAAATCTTGTGGAAAGCCTTTCCAAAAGAGTGGCTGTTATAGAAGCAAAAGGGGGGCCAACTTCATATGAATGGCCATGGTTTTGGAAATGGATAACCAACAAACTCGTATAGGCATGACTGTCAGGTATCCACACTTTTGACCATATACTGAATATTAGAAAAGTATTTAAACAGATCGAAGACCAGTGCTTAGTAACGATGATCCTCTAGGGTCACAAAAGGTCATGTTTTGAGGACTTTCCTGGGGCACAGATAAGGTTCAATGAACTCCTTAATGGATCATAGTATAACTACAGCTCAATTTTGTTTTAAAGCGACACTTAGGCCTGGTTCACACCTGGGCGTTTTACAGCGCGTTCCTACGCTCTGTAAAACGCTAAACATGTGAAAACCATTGATTGCCTATGGGCATGGTTTCCACCTGGGTGTTTTACAGCGCGTAGGAACGCGCTGCAAAACGCGCTGCAAAACGACCTACGCCCAAAGAAGTACAGGAGCTTCTTTGGGGTGTATTTGCCACGCGTATCCACTGGGATAAAGCCAGATAGCCCACGGAAACGCGCGTTTACCACGAATCGCGGTAAAAACGTGCGCCAAACGCACATATTCGATACGCCTAGGTGTGAACTCAGCCTTACAAGAAAAACTGACGTCTGATACACTTCCATTGTTGAACACATTATCTTATAAATCTTTACTTTATCTCACTTAAGAGTTAATAAATTATGAACTTGAATGGCTACTTTTAATATGCGGCCATGCACAGTAACGATATCTTCACAACAGTGGTCCCCCCTTTGGCTATGTCATGGTTTGTGTTTAATTAAATCCATGTTGGAATAAAGCAGCGAGTATAACACTTGTGTATACACTTTCTTAGCATATGGTTACATGAGAGCTTCTGCACATTGTAACTTTATTAACTGAAAGTCATAAGCCCTTTCTATGCTAGGTGGATATAGCCGACATGAGATTACTATGGCTTACTATGGAACTCATCAAACACTGGAGAGGACGATTCACCCAAAAATTAAAAAAATGGCAATTAGAAAGCAGGCAGTCATGCACAGACACAACAGGTGGGGCCCATTTTTCCAGATGTGCTTCCAGTTTGCATGAAGTTTGGATACTGTGCCACTGGAACACATTAACTATGCATCTTCTGTATTTTGCTAAACTGCAACGCACAACCTCATAGCTTGAAACTTTGAATACAAGGCAACAAATCCTTCCTTGACATTGTGAATGTGTGGGTTCTGCCATGTGCATACCTGAAGACAGGTTTAAGAATGTCAAACTGAGGATATGCACATAACACCCTTGTTGCCCATGTAAAACAGGATACTTATTCGCCGACAGAGAACACCAATTTTTAGACCCATCACATATAAATATCAGTTTACAAATAGAAAACATAATTTATACAATTATGCAGTCTCAAAACACAGAAAGCAATAACATATAGCTCGAATCAGCCATTGTAGATTGTAAGCTCTCATGAACAGGGCCCCCCTAACAATCTTGTTTTGAACTGTATTGTGGTCTTCCTTTATATTGTAAACGTTGCAGAAACTGTTGGCGCTTTAAAAATCCTATATAACAGCAGAGACATTATTGGTGAAAACGCATCAGGTCATACAATTCAATATAGTCCATCAAAGCTCATACAAAAAAGGAAAAATAAATACCCGTCACATGTGGGAAATACATTGTAAGTGAGGCATGTCTATATACCCTAAAAAGATGCATATTAGATTACTCCAAGTACAAAGATAAATAATTAACAAAGTGCTCGGAGTTGCACAACACTCCAAGGTGAGAGTTCACAGTTGAAGGTGCAAGCTAAATTAAGAGTGCAGCAAGTTCTAACCCAGATTTTTTCCCCAAAAATATGCCAGCATCAACTTTAATTCAAATCCCATAAGGTATTGCAAGACTGACAGCCACAGGCATGACTCCCAGAAGCACATGCAAGACAGGATTTGTAGTTTCACACAAGCTGGAGGGCCGGAGTTTGCCTACTCCTGGTGTTTAGTAATCCTTACAGTCTAATTTTTTTCCTCACCTCCTTTGCTGGTGTAAGGACTTACCTTAAATCAGTGGTTCTCAACCTGTGTAACCTCAGGACCCACATTTGTCCTTGGTCATTAAGTTGCGACCCAAGTCGCACTGCAATGGAACACACGGCATTGCCATACTGCACGTTGCGGTGCAGGCGATTGAACTGTGGGCGGGAGGTATGTTTGCGGTGCCATTCAAATAAATGGCAATGCACCTCCCACACCAGATTGCGATTGCATGGTACAGTGCGTTAAGGTGAGATTGCATGGTACAGTGCATTAATCGCACAGGACTGTGACAGAGCTTCATCCATATGAGCATTGCTTGTACAACTTCATTGCCCACCCTATAGAGATGCTGGGAGCCAGAATGTGACATCACTCTGGTCCAGGCACCTGTACAGAACAAGCGAGGAAGCTGTAAGCAATGCATATATGGATTGAGCTGCCTTGCGGCAATAGCTCCAGCCCACCCCACGCCACCTTCGAACTGATACTCGGCGCTGAACAGCATATGAAAGGCTGCGTGGCGCGAGAATTGACAATGCTGAGCTAGGGGGAGGCTGAGAAGCCTCCGACATAGAAAAATGGAAGGCATTTGGGGACCTATTGAACACGGGGTTGCGACACATTTTTGGGTCATGACCCACCAGTTGGGAACCAAGGCCTTAAAATGATGCCTCTTGATCCGATCAACTTCTTGCCAGTAGTTTTCAGGAGTCCCTCCAGCACTGGTGCCAGTCTCTGACCCAGCGCTGACTGCTGTGTCCCACGGTGTCTGTGCGCGTTGACTTATGCTGTGGCTCTACTCTTCTCCGAGCTGAAGATCTCTACTGCGCATGCTCTGGCCCCATGATCCTTTGCGGTTCGCCCGGGAATATTCTAAACTTCGGACAGGAGTGAGCGCCGGAGACACAGGTAAGTTTTAACCTTTTTGGTGATTTAAAAAAAAAAAAAAATGTTTTTGCATATATCTACTGCTTGCTGGCAGTAGATAAATGCAAACCCCCCCCCCCAAGGGTTTAATTATACTTTAAGTCATGCCACAGATTTCGGTTGGATTACGGATGATAAACTTTACTTTTGCGGAGGAGGAAGTCAGAGACTTCTGATGAACTGAGCTCCACTCTGTATACGAAGCCCAGACAGAGTCTGGAGGTTCAGCATTTAATATCTATGGAAAGGAGAGTGTTAGGCTTTACTATGTTATGCCCTGATTTGGCTTGAGGTCGTTTTGCTTTCCTTTAGACCCTAGTTACCATAACCTGTGTGATTCTACTGTGCCTTTGGGTGCCGAGCCCTAGTCCATAGAAGCCATGGTTACCATGCTTGCCATACACCAAATTGATGATGATCAAATTGCCCAAAACAGCTGTATGGAGTATGGAATAAAAGGCTCTATAATATGAGGCTATATATAACAGTGGTTCTAGATGTGCATCTGACCAATAGGGTATAAAGCAATGATATTTATGGCTCCGTCCACTGTCCCTAAATAAGAAATAATCCTCTTATTTTGGGCTATGTGATGGAATGAGACCTGTGAATACCTTCTGTTTTAAGAAGACTTTACTGTGCTATAAACCGATTGGGATAAGAGCTTCTTGGTTGCTTTATTCCCTTCTCACCATAACCTGTATGGTTATTCTGTAGTATTCCTCCAATAAACTCAGTAAGTCTGGAGCTTGTTTTTCTCATTGAAAGCACAACTCACACTCAGTTTGTTTTCCCACAGAAGACAAAACCATTTGTTCTATTTTTACTCTCTGGTAAATGGATGACGAAAGCATTTGAGATGAAATAGCTTTAATATGAAAACAAGAATCCCACATGGCCACACAACAGTCATTTTACAGATAAACAAGAGCATTTCCCAATTTCGTCATCCAATTAGACTGAAGAGCAGTAAGCAGATGATCTGCTATTCCCACTGGACACTATGCTGGCTGTAAAAGTCCAACATTCCATCCTACATTACCCTAAATGACGCAGATAAAGTCGCAAACATGAATTCTACATATACATGTGTTTCTTATACCCGTCAGACTCCAGCTGTCAGCAGTCCTGCCTATAGCAATTAGGACACGAATGCTGCTCCTACCAATTCTATACACAACCTGCAGGCATAGGTTAGAATCTTATAGGGTGTTCATTTCCTAGTCCATTTGTGCTCAATTTTGCAAGATTTTGTCTACAAATATGTAATAAGAATTAAAAAAAAAGATAAAAGTATTTGAAATCTATGGTTCCTATAGGACTTAAATATTGGACCAGATATCTGAATTGAACTAACTTCATCTCAGCTTATAGTAGAGATTACATCCTTTAAAGCAAACCTGTTGCTTACCATATAAAATTATTGATGAGATTATAAACATTCCGCTATAGAAGCATAGTAAAAAGGGGCAGATTTCTTGTAAACATACTTTATACAAGTCTAAATGTGTATGCAAGCTGTCACACTGGATATCATTAAGGTCCTGAGGGACCAAGTCTGTACTGCCCACAGCAACCACTCATGATATTTCTGGTGCGCTGTGGAGCAAAATGGAAATCTGAATATCTGCTACTGCTGCAGACAGTTTGGGATACTTCTTCCTTCAGTAGCTATGATAATTA